CTCCCATGACGTTCAGCCTCGCCATGGGAGGCATGTGATGTACGCCTCGGAGTGCAAACGAGGCGGTCCCTTTGGGGGCCTGATCCTCTCCTCTGAAGTGTCCACTCTTCCTTATATGGTGGGTGGTTCATCCATATAAAGGGATCTCCCTTGACGTTCAGCTTCGTCAAAGGGAGGCATGCGCTATCCACTTCAAAATCGGTCCCCAATGAGTTCTATCTACAACCATATACTTATTCCTAGGTTTGCTTATCAATAGTAAAATAGAGAATTTAATATTTTGAAAACAGAAGTATAATACTTAGAGAGTGTTCAGTAGAGATTAAAATGAGATTAAAATTGAAAAACTAACCGCCATTGTTGACTTTTACTAGACGAGTGAAACCCAATAATAACTATATTTTCAATTTTAATTGGATTTTAAGGTGTACCAAACATGCTTCTAATTCCGTTATATCAAAATAATAGTGAATGAATACCGGCTTAACAAATACAGGATGGACACATACTGGACTTGCAACACATACCGGAATTGCACATATCGGATTTGCAACTAACCAAAATATCGTATAAAAATATCCCGGACACTGAAGAGAACACAAATCAATCTTGATCTTCCAAATAACCAAATGGATCCCACTCAAAATTTATGACAAAGTCAGCCATTGTATTCATTTTTTCCAACAAATTCTCTCCACTAGAATTTTCGTTTTCCCTTGATTGATTGAATAATTGCTAAGGGAGCATGTCTAATAGAGTAATTATTTCTAGATGGACCTCTAAATAATATCTATAGTTTTACCACGTCATCATGACATGGTCTCCGTCACATTGCATTGGAGATAACTTTTTGCACACATTGTGTATTTATACTTATGCGACATTTTTTTATAAGCAATCTATGTTAGCGTTTGAGATGCTCTAAAGTATTTAATCTTGTCAAAGAATTCTATAAATCTATCAAGACCTGAATACTATGCAACCGATAATAAAATCCATCCAAAGAGGCTGCAGCTTTCAGAATTCTTGACGGGGGGAAAAAAGATTAACAGAAGCCAAAAAGGGAACCAGACATAATACTGCAACGCACGATAGCATATAAATTAGCATTAATTGGGAAAGAAGCAATGGCAAGAAAATACTTTCCGATATTCTCATATTAGCCTGTATGATGAGGCAAAAACATAGGTGAAGATTGGAGTTGAAGCAACTTAATCGTCGTCACATATTCGAACACAGAAAAATTATGCATATCGTGAACTGGGCAGTTAGTGGTTCAATCGCCAATCGTAAAGCTGGTATATCACTTTCAATTGAGTATCTGAAAGCAAATCAAGCAGAGCTTGAGACTGTACCGGCACTAGGCAGTTTACAACATGCCTCGGTACATTAAACTCATTCTTACCAAAATCTATATTTTACCTAGAAAATTTTTTACGTAGCAGAAAGATAAAGTTGAGTATCAGAGAAAAACTGCACTTCAATAGCAATAAAATAATTAATTATAAGAAGTCCTTCTCCAATTAGTTTATGCGCTTTAACCCTTTCAGACTATACTGTGAACTCATTGAAACCAAGATGAATTGCTCCTTGAAACTGCGCTCGAGTTGCAAACTGCTTTATCGTGAGAAGGGCGTTTAGGCAGGTCTTAGATCATGCAGGCTGATGGTAGCATCATGAGCGTAGAAAGGGAATACAACTAACTGAGAAAGTTCTTGTAAAACCTTTATCCCTTTAATCTAAATCCCTTCTAGATATTATGCTCCTATTTGGTGGGGATTGAAATTACATTTTTGGTACAAGTCCCATAAAATATATAGTTAAAATTAATTGTTGACTTTGGCTTAGATTAAGATCTTGAATTTAATCCCTACACTCAACTTTTGTTAGAGAAATAGGAAGTGGCTATTAAGGTGTAAGTTGTGAGGAGAGAATACTATGACTATATTTTAAATCTTCAAATTTAGAAGTTGCCTTCTATGAAGTTTCGTTAGCCAAGGATGTCGTATATGTGGAATCAAGATTTTACGTCAGTGTAAATAATATAGACAAGATTGGATGATGTTCATGCATTTTCTTATACCGAAAACTTGGTAATAATATACAAATAGAAGTACAGTTAGATTGGATGATGTTCAAGCATTTTCTTTCCACAAGGAGAAAATATTATACTGAAAACTTGGTAATAACATACAAATAGAAGTACAGTTTCAAAAGAAACTGGTTTAACCAACTCAAAAGGTTACCATGCATATATATTAATTCTGGGCTATCTTATTTTTTATTATGCTGCAGGGTGAATTCTATAAAAACCCCCGAGGAAGCTGCAGCCACCGGAACATGAATCCAAGCCAGAACCGAAAGAGGGTGAAGTGGTCCCATAAACTTCCTTCTTAGCCTCTTTATTTCCCAAGCTTTTCAGCATTTCCGTCTCCTTGTTCAACTTTTTCCACACATACACTTCAGCAATGCCAATATTGGCTGTTGACATGATTGGAAAATGGAACTGACAAGTATAAAATGAAGGATTTGTTTCATGTATAAATAGATACAAGAACAGGCTGAGTGGTCAGGGGCCAGGTTACTTTAACAGTGATTTTAAGGAAGTCAGAAGTGAGAAGTGGAGGGTGCTATTGGAAGACTTGAGTTTTTTGCACTTTTTCATGGAATTCCTTGTCATTTATCACTTACAAATTATATAGTACAAGAATTTTCCTGTTTTTAATTGGTTATTTGAGGTCATTGTTCACGTCATCATGAATATAATGTAAAAGAGTAATCATCTTTTCCATGTCCCCATACTTTCGTTGGTAAGATAGAAAAACTTCGTAGTACCATACAACATTAAGAGAAAGTTTAAAATATTATCCTTGAGTCCTCTATGAACTATACAAGCTCTATCGTGTTAAATTGAAGTCGCTCGCAAACCTTTCCAGCATTACAAACAAACCGTCAAATAGTTGCTCTAGTTAACAAGAGCTAATACTAAAAGAAAATACATTGCAAATATAGTTTATGTGCTCCTAACATGACACAATGTTTTAGATTAATCAATATATGACATTGTCCTTTCATTAATTTATAATCACCTTACATTGACCTTTTAATTGGTTCACTTAAGTAATTGAACCAAGTTTATGATTGAATTGGTTACAATTTTGATTTACTGAATTGTAATTTGTGGAATAATACGTCGATTGTTCTTTTAATTTAGATCGAGACATAAGAGTCAATGAGATAGGGTTGGTGCGGCGGGGTGACCGCCCCCACAACATTTTAAGATATTTTTTGGAATTACATAAAAAATTCCATTTTTTTGTATGTATTTTGTCCTCAACATAAAAATCCTGAATTCGTCACTAATAGAGTCAACTGTGAATTCCCACATACTTACTGCTTTCGACTTCAATGAATTTGTCTGTTAAGAACACTCGAGCAACTTTGAGATGAAGGCGTTGGAGTTTATCCGAAGCCTCTTCAATGACAGGAGTAAAAGGTACCACGGATTATTACAAAGGAGATTGTGAGTGCTCCCCCTGGGTCAAGGGGAATTATTTATTTGTATTTGTTGGTTCAAATCCCATTTGGAAGTAGAATATAATTGATTCATTCCCATTAGATTCAAATTGATTTAGATAAGATACCATTATCCCATTATACTTGATTTTTAATTGATTGAGCATAATTTTCTGGAGATTGTCGTGGATATTTCTTGTAATGCGGTCTTGATTTGTATTAATTAAATTGAATTGAATGTCCACAATCATGATGAGATTCTGAAGGAAAGATTGAACTCTCATCTGAATTATATAGAACTGCGTTAGACTAGTGTATTTATGTGTATTGAGAAATTAAATACATATTTGATCCTCTATTTTCCACTTCCTTAGCCTCCTCCCTGTGGAATTTTTTCATCACATAAACATCAGCAAGGTCAGCACCAGGCCACCAGCCGTCGCCATGGCTTAATCAAGAAACACAAAAACCCACGACTAAGTTCTCTTACCACGTCAGCAATTGGAAAATTTTTATCATGTCCACTGGGGGCAGGAGATTAGAATTGATGAATTGATTTGTTGGGTGTGGAGTTTATAGAGTTTGTGAACTTGGGTGGCAAGAAATGCAGGCCACAGTTTCGAGTCTTCGGGTCCCAAAAATGGGTACACTTTCTTGTTTACAAGAAATCTTGTTTGTCGAGATCTACGAAGACCTGAATATGATGCAACTGATACCAAAATCCATCCAAAGAGCCTATGAAATAAGCATTTTCTGATATTAGCATGTATGATGAGGCAAATAAATAGGTAAAGATTGGAGTTTATGCAACTTAACCCTGTTTGGTACCTATTTTCTAAAATTTATTTTTCCTTAAACTTATTTTCAACCACACATTTCAAGGGATCCACAACTTTTATCAACTTTCTAACCACACAATAAATTTCATCAACTTATATCAAAATCTATTAAAAATATGATTTTTAACTAAACCAAACAAGGATTTAAACAATGATCTAAACATGGAAAAATTGTGTGTGACGAACTGGGAAGCTAAAACGTACAGTTAGTGGTTCAATCCCCAATCATAAGGCTGGTATATCGCTTTCAGTTGAGTAGTTGAAAGCAAATCAAGCAAAGCTTGCAACTGTACCAGCTCCAGGTAGTTTGCACCATGCCTTGGTACCAGAAAGATAAAGTTGGGTATAGAAGAAAACAAACTGCAGACCAATATAGCTAAAATAATTTCCCATTAATCCATTTAGAATTTAAAGATCTTTAGCAGATACTATCAATATACTGCTTCAAGAGTATATCAACAAAGTACATGGCATGATAGAAATTATAACGAAAAGAACTTCATCTTGTAATTTGACAAAAAATTAATGAATTTCATGTAGAAAAAAGGTTAAAAATAATAACATATTCCCGGACCAGGACACAGCAAATGCCACCAAAATACAAGTGGTAGGGACAGAGAGATGAACTGAAAACTTACCATCTCAGTATTTTACTAACATACATGACGTTTGCAGTCAAGTCAACATACCAGTTCTAAGGAAATTAAGAGCAGCATCAATCAACTCTTCATCAATGCTTTGTGGTGAGTAGCATCGAAGAGATGGTCCAGATCGGGTACCACAGACCAGTGTAAAATGAACAAGAGGCTCTGGACAAGGAAGAGCTACCTGATGTGATTTTTGAAGTGTATGTGAGAGAGAGAGAAAAGAGAAGAGAATCAATCCGACAGAACATTCTTGAAGATGAGAAAATTCAATTGAAATTATACTACTATACCATGCATTTTCCAATGTATTTCATGGATTATACAAAAAGCATAAAAATAAATACAATTATACAAACATGTAAATTCGACTCCACCCAAAAGTTAAAAATCTATCAAGAGCAGTCAGCGGTTATCCTCAGGTACCTGGCAATGATTCAACAGTCAATGACAAACCTAACTATGTGAGAATTGCAGACGTGCATGCACGAATGGACACACACGCTCATGTTCATTGAACTCACCATCAATTTTCTTTAGACAAACTTTTAGAAGTATTGACAAACCTTGAAAATTCCCCACTCCCATGGATGCTTCTATAATCAACATGTTTTCCATCTTCAGATGCGTAAGCTTCTAATATTGCATAAAACAAACACCTAAGCCTCGATGAAATTTCTATCATGGGTTTTGGTTTCACATAAGACAAATGCATTAGGTATTTAGGAAGCTAAGGAGTTAGTAACATCAAGAAAGGAAATGAAGCTTAACAATAAGTGAACAAAGGCGAAACTACCTCCTCTTTCTAAATGTTGATCATCTGACAGAATCAACAGCTTCTGAACCCAGAAAACAGTTGGTGAACCCTGCGCATTTTTTGAAACCTATCCTTAACAGAAACAGTTCCTTTCACTTTTCAAACAACAAGAGCTAGTCTTCAATAGATCCGCTACTCGATAGGTCATCTTCACCAGATAGTGGTGGTAGAGGAGCTTCAAATTATGGTGCTTTAGTGGCAACTTACTCAATCTTCTGTTCAAGCTTACCAGACTCCTCCAAACTCTTCAGCTCAGCCAAACCACCAATAAGTACTTCATTAAAGGACACTCTAGGAACAGCATAAGATCCAGCAATCTTCTCTAGCTCTGGCTTCCTGGAAGGATACACATCAATAATGATCTCAACATACTGAAGTCTTTTCCCATGCAGAAATCTTCGTGTCTCTTTGCAATCCTGGCACCCTAACCTTGTATACAAGATAATTTGTCCATTCATGGCAATCATTTGTATTAAGTCCTCTATGGAATGATCCTCCACTGACTTGTTTTCACCCCAAGCATAACATGAAATCCCAATACGGCTAAGAGGTTCCATGCAGAGCTCTCTGCAGATTTTTAGAGACTTCTTGTGCTTCACTTTCTGGTGAAGAATTTTCACTCCCATTACTATCATTGTCCTTGCTGTGATTTTTATCTTCATTGTGAACATTATGTCCACTATCAATATTCCCAGAAAGACGGCGCATAAAAGTAGAGACTGCAACTGCACTCTTCACCCTTAGTAAATTTGTGTGAGCAACTGCCTTTTCGGGCAAAGCAGGTCCCTGCCCTCCACTTCATGATCCACGGACCTCATTGAAAAACTTCAATTAGCTTCCATTTCAGGGATTTCAGTTCCATAGAAGCCAGGTTCCTCTTCTACTCCGTAAAGAATTTCCTCAAGATTCTTGTTAGTTCCTTTTGAATCTGCTTCATCATTCTCTCCCTCCTTCAAGTCAAATGATCTCTTCTCACTCTCTGTTTCACCAATTTTCTGTCCAACTTCCAAAGATTTCATTTCACTTGGTGACAACTTGTTTTTCTTTCTGAATATTGACTGTCTCTCCCTCCATCTTTTCAGCATGTAGAGTATGGCTTTCGTTTTCCTGCTTTTCTTTCAATGTGTCTGGGTACCTTTTCCTCCCTTCCTGTAGTAGCTGAGTTACTGACTGCTCCATTTCCTCGTTTTCCTGTTCAAACTCAGATGTATCACAGTTATTTTGAGATCCTGGAGGGTCACGACATTGTTCTTATCGGAGTTATCAACCTACGAAATTCCACAAAAACAATTGCAATCATTGGTGAATACACTTCCAAGGTGACAACTGAATTTCATAACATCACCGCCTATATCGAGAATTCATCCAAAGCTCAAATCAAACCACTGCAGACCAGAGTACCATTTTTTTATGTAATTTTTTTTTTCTTTTTTCCAAGATTAACAGGAGTGACATTTCTTTTCTTCCACAATTTCTTTCTACAACATGTACTTGGTGCGAGGAAGGAGACATCACTGAAACAGCTCATACATTTTGCAATTGGAAAGAATTTTTTAATTTTCTAGAATCAGAGATAAACGTTTGAACATGCAACAAATTGTGATCATCTTTATACTTCAAACTCATCGTATCAATTTATTTCCAATCTGATGATTTGTGTATCAAACTCATTGTGTCAACTTATTCTCCAAATAATTAAATTATTTTGTTGACTCCATTGTGGCAGAAAGTAAACAGGACAGGACAAAGTGCTCTCTTGACCATATCTAAGTGGAATGCCTAACTAGTAGTAAACTCTTACATATTCAAAAAACCATAAATACACGCCTTCAATAAATGATATGGATATTTCAATTCGAGGGCTTTTATACAATTTATTGATTAAGCTAGTAGTTAAAAATGCAGAATTCTGCCAAATCTCTTTCCCCTCACCAGAGAGAGAGAGAGAGAGAAAACACTGTTTTATACTAGTACCATTGTACAAAATGAACTCTACATCCAACCTACAGGACTACTTCATTGAATTGTAATTACTATTGATGAAAAACACAGTTGCTATGAAAATAAAAAGGGGGTTAAAAACTATAGAACAAACAATTAACAGAATGAACAACAAAAGTCCAATATGTTAACCCCCTTTAGACTCAATTAGCTTAGATTATCGGACATACTAAAGCTGCCAAATTAAATTGCAGAAAAGGCCTTCGACCACTATGAGGTCCTCTATGTTCATACTAGGTCCTCTTTACGTTCATACTAGGCTATCTACCATTATGAAACCCTCTACGTTCATAGTAGGCCATCTACAACTGTAAGACTCTCTACGTTCATACTAGACCGTTTACCATTATGAGGAGGTCTATTACTATGAGGCCCTCTACGTTCTACTAGGCCGACTACCATTATGAGGCCGTTGACCACTATGATGCCCTCTACATTCATACTAGGCCTTTTACCATTATGAGGCGGTCGATCACCATGAGACCCTCTACATTCAAAGCAGGCCGCCTACAACTATGAGGTCCTTTATGTTCATATTAGGTCGTCTACCATTATGACACGGTCCCCACTATGAGGCCCTCAACATTTATACAAGGTCGTTTACCATTATGAGGCAGTCTATTACTATGAGGTTCTCTACGTTCTACTAGGTCGTCTACCACTACGAGACTCTCTACGTTCATACCAGGCTATCTATCATTATGAGGCAGTTGATCACTACGAGACCCTCTACGTTTTACTAGGCCATCTACCACTATGAGGCTCTCTACCATCATACAAGGCCGTCTACCATTTATGAGACCGTCTACTACTATGAGGCCCTCTACGTTCAGACTAGGACATCTACCATTATGAGGCCCTTGACCACTATGATGCCCTCTATGTTCATACTAGGACATCTACCATTATGAAGCGGTCGATCACTATGAGACCCTCTACGTTCTACCGGCCATCTACATAAGGTTCTCTACGTTCATACTAGGCTGTCTACTACTATGAGGCCCTCTAGTTCACACTAGGTCGTCTACCATTATGAGACCATCGTCGTTTATACTAGGTTGTCTACCACTATGAGGCCCTCTACGTTCATTATGAGGCCAACACAATAGTTGGATGGGAACCGCTTAACGATTATCATGGACACAACCAACCGCTGGATAGGTGAAAGTCCTCCACTTAGAATGTGGGAGATACTACATGGGACACGTGGCACAATAATCGCCAAGCAATTACACGGTTTCAAACACCTATAAATACTCTTAAGGCGAGACATGTATGAGTCTTAAAAAAATTGGTTATCTGAATACACATTTTATCTTTTCTTCCTAAGTTTATGTTCCTAAATCTCTTACTAATTCTCTCGTCGGAGGTACAATGGGGGAGAAAGTCCCAACCTCATTTTACAGGTAACATTTGTTTTTCGGGGTAGCACGCCACCAAGAGGGCAAGGAGGTTTGTTTTATAACCATTTCATAAATGAACAAATCTTCAGAAAAGGAAACGGATTGTTATTTATTGAATAAATGCATTTGCAGAAAAATGAAGACTTTGAATTGAAACCGTCGTTTAACATTTTAGGTCTCCATTTATTGACAAAGAAAAGCATTTTTGAGAAAAATTGAACCACTTACGATGGAGGCGGAAAGTTCTATCAAGGCATTCTTTTTTGCAAATTAGTCGTTAATATTTTGGTTTTTTCAATTTGATCCATTATTGAGAGAAAATAGAGTTATTGCCCCTGTTTGGTTTAGCGAAATTTGTTGATTTACTAGTGATTATATATTCGTAGTTTTTAACAAGGATAATTACCACATAAAGTCCTTACATTTCATTATTATTGTGGAAATCATCTTTACCTTTCATTTTTTTGTATTTTCATCCTTATTTCTACTTTCCATTGCGCAAAATGTCATTTTCATTCATTTTTTCAATTAAAAGTTGTGAAATGATGAATATGTCATTCTGTTTAAATGAATTAAAAAAAAAAAAGAACTAATTGCAACCACAATCCCAAATTTAAAAAAAAAGTAAAAACGAGTTTCAAATAAATTATTAAAAGGGTAATTAGTACGTAATATATCTACATTTCACTATTATTGTGAAAAACGTCCATACTTTTTCTTATTCTTTTTTTGCATTCACCCTAAATTACATCTTTAATTGCGCAAACCATATTTTCAATCCATTTTCATCCAATTTCTCAATAAAAAGCTATGAAATAACGAATATATCATTTTATTTAAATAAAAATAAAGATTTTTTTAATAATTTATTTGAGACTCGTTTGCATTTTTTTTAAAAAATCTAATTTTTTAAAATAATTTATTTGAGATTCGTTTACACTTTTTAAATTTTTTTTATTTCAAATTTTTTTATAATTTATTTGGGACTCGTTTGCA